TGGGTGCTCTTTGGGGAGTTAGGGGTGTTTTCTTTCCTTTTTCTTTTGCAATTCTTTTTTTTTAACGTTTTGGAAGGACAGTTTCTTTGAAGGAGAGACTAAACACAGGCACCTGCGCGTCACAGGTGGGCCGGGGAGCGGCCGCTGCTGCTTCGCCAAGGGAAGAGTTTTGTGAAAAGAAACAGCTGCGCGTCACCGGCGGCAGGAGGGCTGCCCCTTTTTGCAGTCTTGAAATTGGTGGTGAACACGCCTGGCATCTGGTGCCACAGCACGTCTGAGTGCCAGGCCAGCGGCTGCACGGCCGTGATGGCCCTCCCCGGGACACGGGCTCCAGCCCCCGCCTCCCCGCCCGGGCACCCACTGTTCTCGCCATTCTCTGTGGTGTGGCCCAGGGCGCCTTGTGTAGGTGGAGTCATCAGGCCTTGTCTTTCCTCCTGCGCCGGAGTCTTCCCGGGCGCCCAGGCTGCAGACGCTGTCAGGGTTGTCTCCCCATTTGGCTGGGTCCTTCTCTCTAGGCAGACACTCGGCTTCCTGTGTGTTAGCACTCGCGAATGCCTTGCTGCGAGCACAGTGTCGAGGCCTAGATTTCGGCTCTTGAGTGGGCACCGAGGAGTGTGGCCGTTGGATCAGGCGCCTCTGAGAATGTGCCATGCTGGTTCCACCGTTCACGCCATCCCCGCCAGCCCTCCACGAGTCTCTGCACACCCTCACCATGCTGCTGTCCACGATCTTTAAAAATTGTAGCCATGCTAATGAGCGTGCGGTGGTATTTTGTGATTTTAATGTGCATTTTCTTAAAAATGGAGATGTCCATTATTTTTTCATGTCTTACTGGCCATGTGTATATCTTTGAAGAAATGGCTCTTACAATCCTTTGCCATTAAATATTTTTTTTTTTTTGGTAGGTGAGTTGTAGTTCTCTACATGACTTCATTGACTTTTCCTATTCTGTTTCCAATTTGTTTTATTCTTGCCTATTTCAATACAAGCTTTTAGTGTTGGAGGTTTTATTCCTAACAAGTGTTTCAGCTGCAGTCTGTAGACTGTGTATGCACAGTCTGTAGCAGTATGCGCTGGACTGTGTTTTCATTTTTATTCCTTTAAAATATTATTATACTTTCTCGGACAATTTCTTTTTGGTCCATGGGCTATTTAGCATTATGTTCTTTAATTTTGAATTGTTTTGGGAATTTTGTGTTGCCAGTGAGAGTCCCAGTTTAATTTCACTGTGACCTAAGAACATCCTTTTTACGATTTACATTCTGTAACAGTTGTTAAGCTTTGGTGTGTGTTGCAGGGTGTTGTGCTGATTAGCGAACGGATCCACTTGCTGTAAATGTGTACTGTGCTGTTTATTTCGGGCACAGCATCTTATACACATGGAGTGGGCCAGCTGTGTGGTGAGATTGCCCTGCGCGTTTCTTGCTAACATCCTGCTAGAGCTGGCTGCTGCTGAGAAGGCAGTGAGGCCCCCGTGTGATCGCGGAGCCGCCGTTCCTTTGGTTTCGTGGATTTGAAGTTTTCCCAGGCACACACACATTTAGAGTTAGAAGTGTGTGTCATTGATGAACTGGCTCTTTTAGCACTGCGTAATGTTCCTTTTCATTTCTGGTAAATTTTGTTTTTAGTCTCCTTGTTAGGCTTTTAGCATAGCTACTCTGGCTTAATTTTGACCAGTGTCTCATGGCTTATCTGTTCTCCTACATGGATCGTCATACCTGAGTTGAGTTTCATGTGGCAGTATATGTGGCTGGGTCATGTTTTTAAAATAGGTTCTGATGATCTCCATGTTTTAAGTAGCGTATTTAGACCGCTTATGTTTAGTGGAATTGCCCATAATGTTTTAATTTAGGCCTGCTACTTGTTTTTAGCGTGCTTTTTATTTTTATTTTTTGTAATGTTTTTCTAAATGTCTTTCTTTCAGTTCTTTATCTTTTATTTATTTGCCGATGCCTTCTCTTTTAACATCTAAGAGTGTTTGGAACCTGCCCATTTGGGCATTTGCCCTAACGGTCATCAGGTAATTCCCAACCGCTGGGTCATTTTACCATTGAACTTTTGTGCGCTGTATTTTTAAATGTGATTTGATATTTTTGTCATTTTTTGGTAAACCGAGTCATTTCGGATTGCTTCCTGACCATTTGAAAGTTATGTTTTGAGCAGTCTCTTTGGGCTGGGGGTTGGTATTTTTGCTCTTTCAGGTACTCGGGCAGGTGTAGCTCCAGGTATTACCCGTCTTGTGGGAAGCATAAAGTAGTTTTCAAAGCTGCTTTACAGCAGCTTTACATCTGTGCTCGTGCAGTTTCCAAGTGGCCACTCTGGTGCCTGGCCAGAAGACTGTTAACTCAGTTCTAAAGTCTGGGTGTAGGTCGGACCTGGCCGCTGTGGGCCACTGCAGGTCAGCCCAGGCCGGCCCTCCCCTCACGCTGGCTCCTGGGATCGGGCTGCTGGAATTCAGGCCAGGGGAGACTCCTCGGGCTTGGCATCACCGTCTTTTCCTGATCGGTCCGCTGCTATGTGTTTGAGAGGAAACTCAGATGGTTGTCTTCTGCATCATTTCCAGGTTTGAGAATGGGCGAGACCCTCATGGTTATTCCTGCTTCATATAGACCTGGAACCTTTTGATAATCTTTTGTTTGAGCTTTCTAGTGTGTGTGTGTAAGGTGAAGAAAAGGCTATAATTTAGTTTTCTTGTTTTGACTCGGTATGCCCATTTATAAGAGTGGTAAAAAGGGGGTGGCAGGTTGATGTGTTTTTTTTTTTTTAAATAAATCTTTTATTTTTATTATTGTTATTTTTTATTTTGTGCATACAGAACTGGGGTACAGGCCAGAGGCTCAGGGGCGGTGAGAGGCTTCACCAGAGACA